GCGACGGGGCCAGCAGGGTTTGGGCCGGGGCTGGGAAGGGGCGGCGCCGGGGCCGTAAGGTAGGCGACGGGGCCAGCAGAGACTGGGCCGGGTCGGGAAGGGCGGCGTCGGGGCCGAGAAAGGGCGGCGCCTGAACCGCGTGGGCAGCGACGGGGCTGCAGGGCTAGGCGACGGGGTCAGCAGGGGCGGGGCCGGGTCGCGAAGGGCGGCGTCGGGGCCAGGAAGGGCAGCGTCGGGGCCGCAAGGAGGTGACGGGGCTGCAGGTAGGCGACGAGGCCGCAGGCAGGCGTCGGGGCCGCACTTAGGCGACGGGGCCGCAGGTAGGCGACGGGGCCGCAGGTAGGCGTCGGGGCCGCAGGTAGGCGACGGGGCCAGCAAGGGCGGGGCCGGGTCGGGAAGGGCGGCGCGAGGGCCGCGGGGTAGGCGCTGGGGCCGAAAGGGCGGCAAATCGGGGCGGGGAAGGGCGACGGATCGGGGCCGTCTAGGGCGGTGCGACACAGCCGCTAGGGCGGCGCGACACAGTGAGAAAGGGGGAGCGCGATTCGGGCAAGGGCTGAGCGCGCTCCGGGCAAAAAAAAAAAGATCGAATCGGTGGGCCCTAGGAACATTTCCCACGAGGGAACCTGCTCTGATACCATGAGAGAACTGAAACGAGAATGAATGCACTATGAAAGAGTTGGGTACAAGTACTAACCCTAATTGGGTTGCACCCCATATGGGCTACCCCACTACAACCTTCACAAAAGCATAAGCTATAATGTTTTGACGGTGTGGTGACGTCGTGATCCACCCTGAGCTTGCTTGCCTTTCCTGGCTGGTCTTGTGACCCTTTGCTCTCCCCCACTTTGCCTATGGGGGTGTGTCAAACACTATATGTATTGTTGTTGTGTAGGCTATAGTGGGTTAGCCTTTAGGGGATACACAAAACTAGGGTTTGCTACTTGTACTCCAACTTTTCATAGTTCGCACACTTCTTAATTCTGACAGAGGCAGCAGATCAAGGAGGGGATTTCCAAGAACTGTTGGCCGACGTACCGAGTGATCTGGCAACACTGTTAAAGCAGTACAGCGACATTTTCCCGGACGATTTACCGACGGGACTGCCACCTCAGCGACCGCACGACCTCAGGATTGAGTTAGAAACGGGGGCACAACCAACAGTACAGCGACAGTTCCGACTGACCCAGCACGAATTGGACGAACTGAGGAAGCAGGTCGATTACCTGCTCGAGAAGGAATTCATTCGCCCTAGTTCGTCGCCTTTCGCGGCACCGATACTGTTCACGCCACAAAAAGACGGGGGATTTCGCATGTGCATAGATTAAAGAGCACTGAACAGGGTTACCATCAAGTCATGTTACCCCATCCCGCGAGCTGACGAACTGATCGACCAACTGCGCACAGCCCGGGTTTTCTCGAAAATCAACCTCCGAGAGGGTTACCACCAGATTCGCGTCAATCCGCCCGACTGCCCTAAGACCGCATTTCGCACATGCTACGGATCCTTCAAATACACCGTCATGCCCTTCGGACTGACCAACGCCCCCGCCACTTTCCAAATGACCATCAACGAAGCTTTCGCCCGCTCTTAGATAAGTGCGTCATAGTATACCTGGATGACATACTGATTTACAACTCTAACAGAGCACAGTAGTTACAGGACATCGAAGCAACTTTTCAAATACTGAGTGAGAACCGACTACTGACAAAAACGTCTAAGTGTGAGTTTTTACAGGTCCGCCTGGAGTTTTTGGGACACGTTATTTCAGCTGCAGGAGTGGAAATAGACCCGAAGAAAATCGCAACGATTCAAGCATGGCACGCGCCGACCAACTTGACCGAGTTGCTGAGTTTTTTGGGGTTCGTCAACTACGTGCGCCGGTTCGTCCCCGATATGGCGAAGCTGACTGCCCCGTTGACAGACCTGCTGAGGAAGGGGGCTGAGTACACGTGGGGGGGGGGAGAGCAAGCTGCCTTCTCGGCCCTCAAAAACATTTTATGCTCACCGCCCGTGTTTCACATCGCCGATCCACACCGTCCGTTCGAGCTCGTCACTGACGCAAGTGACATCGTTGTGGGAGCAGTAATGTTGCAGGATTTCGGGAACGGCCTCCAGCCAATCGCGTACGAGTCCTGCAAGCTGCACCCGCCCCAACGCAACTACCTGATACACGACCGCGAAATGTTGGCGATCGTGCACGCGTTCAAAGTTTGGCGGTGTTACCTGACTTGCGCCGACGTGACAGTATGGACAGACCACCGATCCCTACAGTACCTGCGTGCCCAACCAAATCTCTATCCGCGGCAGATTCGTTGGTTGGACTACCTCGAGTCCAACTTCCACTACACGGTTACGTACAAGAAAGGCGCATCCAACATCGCCGACGCACTCACCTGCCCTACCACCCAACTCCATGCCATCCTACTCGCCCAAACCAACCTGCTTTTAACATGCCTATTCACCCACGGATACCGCACCGACCCATTTTTCCCGACCGGAAATTCACAGCAACTAGCAGAAGCTAAAGGAGTTTATTACGTAAAAACAGGCACCAACCGCATATGGGTACCCGCGTACTCACTACTGAGGGAGCTGCTACTGCAGGAGGCACACGACGAAATTACTTCGGGGCATTTTGGGGTAGAAAAAACGCGACAGCAACTGCAGCGGTATTACTACTGGTCTGAGCTGTTGACCGACGTGCAGCAGCACGTGGGCTCGTGCCCCACGTGTCAGGTGATGAAGAGCTCGAGGAAGCGGAAGGCGTGTCAATTGCAGCCGAAACCACCGCCCGAGCGCGCCTGGCAGCAGGTTACCATGGACTTCGTCAGAGGGTTACCTTCGAACCCTGGGGGGCGACCCACTGATGGTCGTTGTTGATAGGCTGACGAAGATGGCACACTTCGCTGCGTGCAAAAAGTCGATCTCAGCCGAGGAGACCGCTCGCCTGTTCATCGCAGCCGTTGTTTGCCTGCATGGGATACCAGCAGCGATTATCAGCGACACGGACACGAAGTTCACCAGCAACTTCTGGAAGGACCTCTGGGAGCAATTCGGGACCAGGCTACAGTTCAGTTTGTCATACCACCCCGAGACCGACGGTCAAACGGAGCGGACGAATCAGACGATGGAGCAGTTGATTCGTGCCACGTGCGATGACCCCACGACTTGGGAGCAGCAGCTGCCGCTGATCGAGTTCGCGTACAACAACGCCATGTCAGCAACGACGCAGCAGTCCCCCTTCTACCTGAACTACGGGCAAAATCCTACAGTGCCCATGACGCCGAGTACGGACAACTCAACACCACGTGCACAGCAATTCGCCGAAATTCTGCAAGCTGCCCGCACCAGAGCCGCAGAAGCAATTAAAAAAGCGAACGTCATCGCTAAGCGCAACGCTGACCGCCACCGCCGCCCAGTCATATACCAGTCAGGGGATTACGTACTGCTCGACACGCAAAATCTGCGACTGCCCGACGTACCGAAACTTCGACCGCGCTATTGTGGCCCATTCCAAATCAGCCACATGATCACGCCAGTAACCGCGCACCTACTGCTATCGACCGACTGGTACATCAGCCCATCGTTCCACGTCAGCCTACTTCGCCCATACATCCCAACCACCAGCCAACTGCCTCGTCACCGCCCGGAGTCCATGACTCGCCCTGCATCGGAGCCGATCATCGAACCCGAAAAAATCCTGAGCCATCGGATTCGCCACCCCACGGGAATCAGGAGGATTGAATTCCTCGTTCGCTGGAAGGACCGCACGCCAACTGAAGATAGCTGGGTGCCCCTGGCTAACATTGAAAACCACCTTGCCCTGCAAGTGTACCTGAGGAGCCGGGGATTCGGCGATATACACACACTCGCATAGCGGATGGGGCTTCTTGAGGGGGGGGTAGTGTAAGGAATTTTCTCGGCATTCCTTACGGAGCCCGACTACATCGCGTACAGCAACAGCCGTTGTTCACCCGTTACTACTAACGGGACTTCGCTAACTTCGCCCGCACTGTTTTGCCAAACCTCGCACTGCTGGCCCGGCCGTGTCGGCCTACGCTTTGGGACTAGCTCGAGCCTCGCTGCGAGCGTAGCAGTAGCTAGCTCGCACGCACCGCGTTACCGTTTGCATGTTTCGCGTATAAATGTTCGCTCATGCCTTCGCTCACATCTTTGTACTCGTTTTGACACCTTAGTGCAATTCTCGCTACTTAGATTCATTGCACCCGTAACAACAGTACAGAATAAACTTTTTTTTTTTGGTGTGTCATATGCATCTCCCAAAATAATCAACACCCCCCGGAGGGGGGTATTTCTCAGTACACTCTCTAACGGGAATTGATCAGTCCTCGATTTTTATCTGCAGCTGACTTTTTGCAATCAGGGCAAATGCCGTGCTAAAGAGAGTCGTGCAGCCGACTTTTTGCATGGGACGAGGAGGTTCGCATCGCAATTTTCGTAACCCTGGTGTCTCTGCAAAGCGACCACATTCATCGTCAGGGTGTTGTACACCCTTATTCTCACCTCTATCACCGTCGCGCGCACTGTGTACAGTGCTTGGAGCTAGCGCGATGGTGCCCTTAGCCGTTTCCCAGGCAAATGTCCAGGCAAAACAGGGGGGAGGTGGCAGAATCAAACAGTGACAGCGCGTTGCAATGTGGACTGGAATGTGGTAGAGACCCAACATTAATTGCAATTACTAGAGACTGGAAGCCAAGCAATGAGAGGAGTACCGCGCAGGAGGCGGAGGTTAGGTGAAATGGTGGACTTCTGGCTGTGTGTCTCAGCGGATGTACCAACCTGTGTTTTTTACTTCTGTGTGAATTTATTAGGCACAAGGCTAACCGGTCCCAACTTTCCGTTTCCTCGCTAAACCGGCCTTGAAACGCCATCTTCTACAGAGCACCGCCCGTTCGTCTTGCTCAATCCGCAATCGCCGATACGAATGGCGGAGTCGCATCGCGTCGCCGTGGTCGTCGTCGCGATGCTCGTTATCGCGATGGCGAGTACGGCTGCCGCTCAGAAACTCAACCCGTCGCAAGGTCGGTCATCCTGGCGTCAATCGCCTCGCACGCATATTCGTCTAGCACGCATATTCGTCTAGCACGCATATTCGTCTAGCACGCATATTCGTCTAGCACGCATATTCGTCTAGCACGCATTTTCGTCTAGCACGCATTTTCGTCTAGCACGCATTTTCGTCTAGCACGCATTTTCGTCTAGCACGCATTTTCGTCTAGCACGCATATTCGTCTAGCATGCATATTCGTCTAGCACGCATTTTCGTCTAGCACGCATTTTCGTCTAGCACGCATTTTCGTCTAGCACGCATTTTCGTCTAGCACGCATTTTCGTCTAGCACGCATTTTCGTCTAGCACGCATATTCGTCTAGCACGCATATTCGCCTCGCACGCATATTCGCCTCGCACGCATATTCGCCTCGCACGCATATTCGCCTCGCACGCATATTCGTCTAACACGCATCCGTCTAACACGCATATCCGTCTAACACGCGTGCCTGTCTAACACGCATACCGCCTCCCCTTTTCCCTCCCTCCTCCCACCGCACCCCCCCCGCCTAACCATTTTTTGTCATTCAGCTTGCATACCTGTACCCGTCGCTTCTTGGTACCGTACCCCCACACTAAAACACACATCCAACATCACACCACTCCTCTCGCGTCCTCCCTTCACGCCCACATCGCCGCATCTTCCCCCCACCACCGCTTCCCCGCTGCCAATGCTAACTCCAGCCCATTCCCTGCATTCTCCCTCTTCACCCTCCTTCCTCCTCCCCTCCACACCCCCTTGCGTACACTGGATTGGTTTGGAGAATTCTCGAAAAGCATTTCCTTGCACCCGCTCTCATGCTCCCGTCCATTCTTCACCCTCCGCGCTCCCCGCCCTCTCTCTGCTGCCTTCCTGCCCCCTTTCCCCCCTTTCTCCCTCCCCTCCGCGGTGGCGGCACTGGCAGAGTGGCAGCAGCAGTGGGCGATAGCACTGCTGCTGCATGGCTAGCTGTGTCACGCCACTCTTCTGAGACGCCTCAAAAAGAATGACCCGCCCTTGTCGCTCCCCTCCCTTGCGCAGTGGCGACTCTGGCAGGGTGTCAGCAGCAATGGGCGGTCGGTAGTGCTGCTACATGGGTGGGTGTGCCACTCGTCCGAAACGTCTCACTGATTACTTCCCCTGTCGCTCCCTCCTCTCCTGCAGCGGCGGTGCTGGCAGAGTGTCAGCAGCTGTGGGCGATAAGTCTGACTAGGTGGGACACAGGGGGCGAGTGCGGTGCAGTGGACAGCGTTGAGTGCGACTCCCACGGCATGATCACTGCCATGTGTGTGTGAGAGAGCGGCAAAACGAGGGGGGGGAGAAGGAGGGGAGGGTGGGAAGATATGGACCGGAAGGGGAGGAAGTGAGTGGGAGTCGGAGTTAAAGGGGGGTGGGAAGAAAGAACATGAGCAGGTGCGCCTGCAGGGGGAGGTTGAAGGAGAAGGGAGAGGGAGAGGGGAGACAAGGGAATGCGGAGGAAAACGAGCTCGCTTTTTGCTTGCCATAAGGTTCTTGCTTTTTCCATTACCCATGCCCCATCCCCCATGCGCCACTATCCGTGCTCCATATGGCCCATGTCGTACATTCCCCATGAATAGTGCCCCATTGACTGATGCTTCACACACACGCATGCCCCCATGCCACCCGCCAGATACTTTGAAGACCAGCCTCTGGACGGCCCCTTACCAGACGCCATTGGCAACCTCACATCCCTCACAAACCTGTATGCTGTGTCATGCTGCTCCAATTGCTGCCATGCTACTCCAATTGCTCCCATGCCTATGTTGCAAGACGCTGGGCGCGTTGTGCGTTCTGCGTCTGGACGCAGCGTCCAGACGCAGGGACGCAGGACGCACGCCGTTCTTTTTTTTCCGGGCTGACCGAAAAAAACTTTTATGCCCAGCGCGAAACTGACATTCGCGCTTTCGTCGCGAATGTCATGTTCGCGAAATTTCGTCCCCCCCAACACCCATGTCGACCTTGAAAAACCGCCACCCGACCAAGTTTGAAAACCCCCCCAACCATTGTGGTCCACCACCAAACACTTCATTTGCCTCCAAATCTCGAGCTCACTTCAATTCTCCTTCAAAAACCCCAGAGGGTTTAGCTCCTTCAATTCTCCTTCAAAAACCCTAGACCATGTGTGACTCTTGGGAAACCTGTTTATGGGGGTAAATATGTTGGATGGGGAAAATTTTGCCTCAGATGTGTGGTACGTCGTTCTCCCCCCCTCCTTCCCATGCCCTATAGCATGTTTTTTTGGCTGCCCGGACGTTTTTTTGCCCTGCCCGGGCCGGGCATGCGTCTTTTCCAGCGTCTCACAGGGCTCAAAGAAGCGTCCTGCGTCTAAGACGCTGCGTCTGGACGCAATCGTCCTAGACGCAGGACGCGTCTTTTGCAACATAGCCATGCTGCTCCAATTGCTGCCATGCTGCTCCAATTGCTGACATACCGTTCTACTTGCGACTGTGCCGTTCAAATAGCTGCTATGCTGTTCCACTTGCGGCTGTGCCGTTCCTCGCCATTCCATGCCATGGCATCACAAGCATGTCAGAGTTAGTCTCGTGAACCTGCATCGCCAACCCCACCCCAACCTACGTACTCCACTCCAACTCTTCTCGTGATCTCCCCTCTCTCTTCCCCCACCCACCATCCTTGCATCTCAGCACACTCTCAATGACTAACCTCTCCGGCTCCATCCCACTCTCCTTCTCTCGCCTAACACGCTTGGAGCATCTGTGAGTGCCA